GGTTCTGGATTCAGGGCTGCACCCAGCAGTCTCAGGGGTCACTCTCGGCAGGCACAGGGGGCTCTCTGGGAGCTGGGGGTCGATGTCAGCCACGGCGAGGCAAGCGCCCTGCCCGCCAAACTCTCTCTCCGCCCCCCCCCCTCCCGACTGGATTCTGGCAGACTGGGCTGGGGAGATGCCAAAACAAACTGGGGTGCAGGCTTTGCCCTAGAAGCCCTGGGTGCCTTCCTGGGTACTGCGTGGGCCCCCACACTCTTCTGGAGCATCCCCAGACACCCTGAGCTGGACCTGGGCATGTCGCAGACACCCCTGCTGCCAGCCTCTCCCGTGGCCTCTTCTGCCTCTGCCGTTTGTGTCAGGGGGCTCCCCAGGGTCTTGGGCTCCGATGCTGCCCCCTTCTTGGAGGGGGAAGGAGCGGGGCCACTCCGGGTCGTGTTCAGAGGAACCACATGCAGGTGTGCTTGTGCAGAACCCGCTGCCCCAGCCTGCAGCAGCTCTTCTTGTCCTCTGGACCAGGCGTGCCAATTCTGCCCTCTGGTGGGGGCGGAGGGGGGGGGGCCACATTGGCTCTCTGTCCCGGCCGTGGGACTGCCCCGCAGAATAGAGTTTTTCTGCTGAGTTGGGACAATGAAGAACTCTCCAAGAATGGCTTCATTTTCTCATTCCTCGGAGGCAGCGCCAGTGAATCAGCAAACAATAGCCGTTTTCTTCCACGACCCATATTTCCCTCGATTTCGCTGATTTCAGTTATAGCAACTTCAAACCACCAAGACTAAACCTGTGTTTGGGAAGCGGGGCAGGGCCGGGGACAGCCCGCTGGAGAGGCCACTCAGGCAGCTGTGCCGCTGCCCGACCTTCAGGAGTTCTTGCTAGGGCCAGAGCGATGGCAGAGCGGGCGGGGTGCTTGCCCCCAACCCATGTTCCATCCCCGGCATCCCAGATGGTCTCCCACACCCTCCAGGAGTGATCCCTGAGTGGAGAGCCCAAGGACTAAGTCCTGAGCACTGCTAGGTGTGTTCTTCCCCCTCCCCACCACACACACACACACACACACACACACACACACACACACCTTGCAAGGAGACATTTGTTCATCAGGCAGTGATAGGAAGGGTGAGACTGTAGCGAGCATCTTTCGGCCACTCTGGAGTGGCACTTCCCCTCTGGTCCATGTGCCCAATAGGGCAGCATGGAAGGTGGTTTCTCTGGTACCTGAGGTCAGGCTTAGAGGAGGAGGAAAGACTGTGGAGAGGGGGTGTCCATGCCTTACCTGGGGTAGGAGATGAGGAGCTGGGCTGAGGTCCCAGGGATTTGCATCCTGATTTCTTGTGGTGAGGATACTTGTGGTGAGCCAGAGAAAGGAAGCAGAGGCTGGCAGGGAGCCCTTCAGCCTCTGGACCAAACAGCTGGGCCTGTGTGGAGCCTCATTAGCATTTGAAAACCTCTTGGAAGGGGCCGAGGGCTTCCTGGGGTGGGCCCCGGGGCCTGGGCCTGAGCCCGCAAGTGGCTCTGCGCAGAATGGGCTGAGCATCCCGGGCATAAAGACCAGACCCGACTCAAGAATGAGCCCTTTGTGGCTTTGTCCCAGGCTTGAAAACTGTGACCAGGGCGCTTTCATTGTTAAGAAAAACCGTTTCTTGGCCCCAGCCGGGCTCCGACGTCCAGTTCCCCCCCCCCCCTCCCGCCAGGCAGGCCGCGGAGGAGAGGCTGGCCTCTGGCTGGCTGCCGCCAGAGCCCGGGAACAGGGGCGTCCCACCACCCCCCACCCCGCCCGCCTCGACTCACGAGTGCCTTCTGCCAAATCGTGACCACACGCTCCGGGTGGGTGGATGGGTCCTGGGGCGCGACTGGGTGTCTCCCTTCACGCCCCAGCCTCTCCCCGCCCCGCTGCCTGAAAGGAGCCCCTGCCCCGAGTAAGTCCATTCGAAGGACCTTTCAGTCCATTTTAGTTCACGGAAAATGTGTGCTTATGCCTTTATTTCAAATCACAGTCACTTCTGGTCAATAACAGGTGACAGCTCCAGACCTTCCCGCCTGGGCCCCCCAACCCCTCCCCCCTCCCATGTGTAGCCTAAGCACTTGCCATGTTGGGGGTACAAAGCTGACCTCTAGTGGGACACTGGAGTGAACCCGCCCAGCCCTGCCTTAAACCCAGAGCAATGATGCCACCTACCGGCGCTTGCTGTAAGCTGCAAGCCATGTTCCTCTTCAGCTTTCTGGTGAAGAGAAGATCTGGGGCCTAGAAGGCGGGCAAGGGGCGCGAGCACTGCAGGTAGGGTGCTTGCCTTGCGGGTGCCCGACCTGGCTGTGATTCCCGCCGAGCTCAGCTAGGAGTGAGCTCTGAGCACCCCCAGAAATTCATAACATTTTGTTTTCACGGAGTTTCTTACACTTGTTAGATTTATTGTTCAGTTGTCAGACTGTTCTGCCTAATTGTGAGCAAGTGTTTTCCATGTTCACCTTATTTAGTTCAGTAACACGCAGAGTCTGTCTCTTCTCTTACAGGGGCCACACCTGGCAGTGCTGGGGGCCGAGGGCATTAGGCATCAGGGATTGGTCTCAGATCGGACGCAAGCAGTGGGCACGTGACCTGCCACCTGCATGCACTTGTGCTCTTCCCGAAACCCCACTTTACAGTATTTCGTGCTGTAGGTTACATGAGGACCTCATTGTAATATTTCTTTACAATGTAATATTACTTTTTGCTTGTTTTGCTTGGGGGCCAGACCCAGAAGAGCTCAGGGCTTACTCCTTGCTCTGTGCTCAGGATCACTCCTGGTGGGGCTTAGGGGACCATGTGAGGTGCCAGGGATCTAACACGGGTCAGCCGTGTGCAAGGTCAGTCCCCTGCCCACCGTACTGTCTCTGCAAACCCTTTGGCCACTCACAGGTTGTCCATTTCCATGTAGTCTGACCATAAGTCGATGGTGCCTCTGGTTTTTCGTGCCTCGCTTGGAAACCGTTGCTTCAACCAAGTTCAGAAGTTTTTCTCCTTTGCTGCTTCTATGAATGCAATAGTCTTGACTGTAAAACCCTTAGACCTGTGATGCATTTTGGATTAATTTTTGTTTGTGACGTAAGGAAGGCATCCATATTGATTATTTCATATTTGCATTCCAGATGTTCTAGAACCATTTGCTGAAAGACTTTTCTTTCCTCCAGGGAATTGTCTCTGTGCTCTTGTCAGAAGTTAATTGACCATAAATGTGATGGTTTATTTCTGGAGTCGAGACTTGGTTACATTGATCATATGTTTGTCCTTAGGACAGAACCACACTGTCTGGGCAGCTGTGGAGAGAGAGTTTAAACGGAGGAAATGAAATCTTCCAACTTTGATGAGCATTGCTTTGGCTCTTCAGAATCCCTTGCCCTTTTCGTTGAATTTTGGGTACTTTGGCCCCATTTTTTGTTCGGGGGGCCATTCCCAGTGGTGCTCGGGGCTACGCCTGGCTCTGTGCTTAGGAGTGGTACTGGGGGCCACATGCATGTCCGGAAATGAACTGCCTGCACACAAGCACCTTCACCCTGTCCTCTCTCCAGCCCCAACTTTTGCCATTTTTAAACTCTGCCATCCTTCAGTGACATCTTTTAGTTTCTGTAAATCCGCTGTAGTCTCTTTTGTTGGTTTGTGTGTGTGTGTGTGTGTGTGTGTGTGTGTGTGTGTGTGTTTTGGTGCCGGGAATTGAAACCAGGGGCCTCTTGGTTGCAAAACATGAGATGCCACACCGCGGGCCACCCCCAGACACATCTCCAGTGACTTATCTTAATTTCCCTCATCACGGTATCATTTTTCAGAGTACACAGTTGTGTTGATTTTGGTTTTTTTAGCCTCCGCAGTGGAGCCCGAGGCCATGACCCCACACTGCCAGGATCACAGCCAGCCAGCCCGCTCCTGCCCCGTACTGTGTCCCACCCGGTGCAAAGTCTTACATTTCTTGTGCAAAGTTCATTCCTCAGTATTGTGTTCTTCTATTTTTGTCTTGATTTGTTTTTTTAAAACTCTATTGTAAATGAAATTATTCTCTCTCTCTCCACCCCACTCTGGTTTGGGGGCCACTCGCGCTTCAGTGCTCAGGAGACCATGATGCTTTGCACGTGCTCTTGCCTGCTGAGCTCTGCAGCCTCTGACCTTGCTTATTAGCCCATGTCTCCGAAAAGAGGCATCTTCCTTCTGCCTTCGGAGTGTGTGTAAGTGTGTGTGTGTGTGTGTGTGTGTGTGTGTGTGTGTTTTACATTACCTTAAAAATTGATAGAAAGGGAAAAGACCTCAGCTGTGAACTTCCCGGGTCATGAAAGTGAGGCAAGGGTCTGCAGCACCCGTTTGAAAGGCAGATGTCTCCCTGTGTGCTGATGCAGAATCGCTTCCAAGATGTTCGTGCAACTTGTGCGGTCGAGCACACAGTACAGCAGGGAGGGCGCTTGCTTTGCACATGGCCGACCCAGGTTCAATCCCACGTGGCCCCCCAAACCGCACCCTGGGCATAGAGCCAGGAGGATACCCTGATGTGTGTGTGTGTTTGGGGGAAGGGGACACAAAGGAGTGATTTCTGCCCACTGCACCCTCTGCCAAGGGTGTGCTCCAAACGAGACTCCCACCGCTCAAGGCAGGTGGGACCCCACATTGTTGCCTCTTTTTGGAAACCGGTGGTAGATAGGTCTAAGGCTGCTGAGGTTGGGTGTCTGCTTTCAGGAACAGAATCTCCGAACTGAGCTGCCTTCTCCACGGTGCTTCCCCTGCGGATTTGAGCCTGGCAGGGCCTCGGTCCAGCGCTTTTCACTTTGCTGGCATTGGTACCCCTAGCTGCCCTCTCTGCCATGCCCTCCATGAGGTGCTGAGAGGCAGAGCAGAGTCGGGGCTGTTCCCTTGAACAGGAGATTCAGGGACCGCAGCCTCACATCCCACCATCCCCGCTGGGGCCTGCCCCGGGAGGGCTTCTGGTTCCCGGGAGAGTGGCTCTGGCCCCTGATGCATGCTGATGGCCCGTCTGTCTCCTCGACAGAGAACACCTTCTGCAGTGGGGACCACGTGTCCTGGCACAGCCCCTTGGACAACAGCGAGTCGAGGATCCAGCACATGCTGCTGACAGAGGACCCGCAGATGCAGCCCGTGCAGACGCCCTTCGGGGTCGTCACCTTCCTGCAGGTGAGGCACCGGGCACTAGGGGGGACCCCCCAGGGAGGGCCGTGGGACTCAGTTTACTCCTGTCTGCCCATTTGTCAGGTGGCGTCAAGTGGGATCCAGCCTGCCAAGAAGGGCAGCAGGGCCGGGGTAGTTATGGGAGGCAGAGAAGTCAGGGGCAGCCCTGCGGGACCCGGTGGGAAGGACGGGGCCTGGCGGAGGGTCAGAGCTCGGTCAGTGTCCAGCAGGGACCGGAGTGTCTGCATGAGCTGCCAGAATGCCGCATCTCAGACCTTCCCCGTGATGCCGGACGCGGCGGCCCCGCTCCCTGTCCCTCTGTCTGAGTTTGCTGTGGCAGAGGGAGGATCCCTTCCCTATCACTGAGGGCCGAGGTCAGGCCTCCCAGCCCCATCTGCGTCCATCCATCTCCCAGCCAGGCAACTGTTCCCCGCTAAGGAGACTGTCCCCTGAGCCCCTGAGCCCCTGACCCCAAGCATAGGTCCACTCACCAGAACTGTCCTTAAGAGGCGATGGAGGGGGGTGGAGTGATAGCATAGTGGGTAGAGTATTTGCTTTGCACACAGCTGACCCGGGTTCGATTCCCAGCATCCCATATGGTCCTCCAAGCACTGCCAGGAGTAATTCCTGAGAGCATGAGCCAGGAGTAACCCCTGAGCATCACCGGGTGTGACCCAAAAAGAAAAGAAAAAAAAAGGCGATGGACCCAGGAGGGCAGGACAAAAGGCCACTAATGCCCACGGGCTTCTTGTCCTGACCCAGATCGTCGGTGTCTGCACGGAGGAGCTGCACGCCGCCCAGCAGTGGAACGGGCAGGGCATCCTGGAGCTGCTGCGCACGGTGCCCGTGTGAGTACCTGTGGGAGCCTCCCCCCCACCCCGGGCGGGTCCCCCTGTTCCCATCAGGACAGTCCCCACTGCATCCCCAGCTGGGGTGGGCGGAGACCCTTTCCTCAGTTACCACCCTCCCCGCTCTCCGGTCCACAGAGCCGGCGGCCCCTGGCTGATAACGGACATGCGGCGGGGAGAGACCATATTCGAGATTGATCCGCAGCTGCAAGTAAGTTTTAATGGGGAAAAGCTTCCAGCACACTTTCCTCGGTCTCAGCCAGAAGCACTGGCTTCCATGCTGGGGGAGTAGAGGTGCTTCGTCTGTGAGTGAGTAGAAGTCCGTCACAATTTGCGACTGGCCACCTGAATCCAGCAAGTCAAAAAGCAGAAATTTCTGGCCAGGAAAGCCTATCTCAGACACATGTATGTTTTTCATTAAAAAATTCTGAATTTCCTGACCAGAGTGATAATACAGTGGGTAAGATACTTGCCTTGCCCACGGCTGACCCTGGGTTCCATCCCTGGTACCACATACGTTCCCCTGAGCCCACCAGGAGTGATCTCTGAGCCCAGCCGGTTGTGGCCCAAGAGCGAAACAAAACAATTACAAGTTTTAGGGCTGGCGAGCTAGCCTAGTGGACTGAGCACGTGCTTTGCATGAGGGAGACCTGAGTCAGCCATGTGCAGACCAAGTGCCCTGCCCACTGTACTACTGCCCCCGTCCCACCCCTGTGCTGGTACCACCTGGTCCCCTGCATCACCAGGAACAACCTCTGTGTACCACCAGGGCGTGAAGGCCCTCCCCAAAAAAAACTCAAACAGTTTTGAATTTTACTGTTTGCAGTAATGCATCAATAAATCTGAGTTTGAAAAAGTCAGCAGCAACTAAATAATATCGATAAGACATGAATATTGCTTGCAGTATTCATTCTTCTTTTTCCCTTTCCCTTTTTTTTTTTTTTAATTTATTTATTTATTGAATCACTGTGGGAAAGGTTACAAAGCTTTCAGGTTTAGGTCTCAGTCATGCAAACATCAAACACATTTCCCTTTACCACTACTTATTTTTTTACCATGAAGAACCCCAATAAGACCCCACTCCTCACCCCTCCCAGTCCCTGTGAGGCAGATGAATTCTAGTTAACACTCTGTCTGCTTTGCTTAGATTCATTGTTTCATTAAAAGATTCACCACTATTATTTAGAGTTTACCCCCCCCCAAATCAGACATGCTGAAAAAGCATTGTGAAGTGATTTGCTTTCTACAGCTGGGTTCAAGAATTAAATGTTGGTTTTGGATTTCTGCTATTTTACTTATTGACCCTGGAAGTATTTCTACTGAAAGTCAGATAGTTCAGAAATTGGTTTCTGTGCTCTGGAGTCGTGGCCGTGCTGGAAAGCCGCTTGTGAGGGGCAACTGGTGGCCTCGGTAGGGCGTGAAGGGCGGACCGAAACGCCCCCCTTCCCATGAGGTTTTTGTCGCCCCCACACCCCCGGCTCATACCTGCTGTCCACAAGGCTCCAATGTGGCCGCCATCTTTCTTTCCAGGGAGGAAAGGGCGAATGGGGCAACACCCTTTTCCCTCCGGACAGACATGATGGCCTGGATTAATGCATAGTCCTTTCACTTTTCTGCTCCAAGCTGCCAGGTTCTGCATTAAGTCTTTGTGCTTCTGGGGCTGTGGCCGTGCTGGAGAGCCGCTCGTGGGGGGCAACTGGTGACCTCGGTAGGGCATGAAGGACGGACCGGAACGCCCCCATTCCCATGAGGTTTTAGTCGCCCCCACACCCCCAGCTCATACCTGCTGTCCACGAGGCTCCCATGTGCCCGCCATCTTTCTTTCCAGAGGGAGGAGGGCGAATGGGGCAACACCCTTTCCCCTCCGGGAAGACATGATGGCCTGGATTAACGCATAGTCCGTTCACTTTTCTGCTCCAAGCTGCTGGGTTCTGCATTAAGTCCTTGTGCTTCTGGGGCTGTGGCCGTGCTGGAGAGCCGCTCGTGGGGGGCCACTGGTGACCTCGGTAGGGCGTGAAGGACGGACCGGAACGCCCCCCTTCCCATGAGGTTTTAGTCGCCCCCACACCCCCGGCTCATACCTGCTGTCCACAAGGCTCCCATGTGGCCGCCATCTTTCTTTCCAGAGGGAGGAGGGCGGAAGGGAGCAACACCCTTTCCCCTCCGGGCAGACATGATGGCCTGGATTAACGCATAGTCCATTCACTTTTCTGCTCCAAGCTGCTGGGTTCTGCATTAAGTCCTTGTGCTTCTGGGGCTGTGGTCGTGCTGGAGAGCCGCTCATGGGGGGAAACTGGTGGCCTCGGTAGGGCATGAAGGACGGACCGGAACACCCCCCTTCCCATGAGGTTTTAGTCGCCCCCATACCCCCGGCTCATACCTGCTGTCCACAAGGCTCCCATGCGGCCGCCATCTTTCTTTCCAGAGAGGAGAGGGCGAATGGGGCAACACTCTTTCCCCTCTGGACAGTCATGATGGCCTGGATTAACGCATAGCCCGTTCAATTTTCTGCTCCAAGCTGCTGGGTTCTGCATTAAGTCCTTGTGCTTCTGGGGCTGTGGCCGTGCTGGAGAGCCGCTCGTGGGGGGCCACTGGTGACCTCGGTAGGGCGTGAAGGACGGACCGGAACGCCCCCCTTCCCATGAGGTTTTAGTCGCCCCCACACCCCCGGCTCATACCTGCTGTCCACAAGGCCCCCATGCGGCCGCCATCCTTCTTTCCAGAGAAGAGAGGGCGAATGGGGCAACACCCTTTCCCCTCCGGGCAGACATGATGGCCTGGATTAACGCATAGTCCGTTCACTTTTCTGCTCCAAGCTGCTGGTTTCTGCATTAAGTCCTTGTGTTTCTGGGGCTGTGGCCGTGCTCCAAACTTAACTCTGATTTTCAGGGAGAAACGTTCGGTGGTTTACTTCCCATTGATCACTTTGTATATAGAGAGATGTCACTCTATATTTCCTCAAAACCGCGCGGCTTATGCGGCCGCGCGGTTTTGAGGAAATGTCCTAGTTCCCGCATACTCGAGCTATGGTTGTAGAGGCTTCTGGTCACCAGGGTTCCATCTGGGGGAGGCGGGATGCGGTACCTACCCCATCTGGGACTTCCCGATGATCTCGGCTCTTTTTGGAACCTGTTTTTTTCTTTTTCTCCGGGAGCTTTGGGTCCCGCCCTCCATGTGGCCCTTCTCTTCCCTCCCTTTCCCTTTTTTAACTTCTCTGTCTCTTTCTCTGTCTCTGTCTCTCTATCTCTCTCACTCTCTCTTCTTTGTTTGGTTTTGGGCCACACCAAGTGGTACTCGGGGAACTCTGGCCCTGTGCTCAGGGGTCACCATTCCTGGTGGTGCTCCGTGGAAGCACATCCGGCGATTGAACTAGGCTTGGCCGTGCTCGGCAGGACCCTTAGCCCCTGTGCTGTCTCTCCAGTCGCGCTTCCCCATTGTTTAAAGAACGTTTTCAGGGAGCACCTCAAACAGAGTCTTGCAACACGAAGAATGGGATACTGACCCCCTCAGCCCAGCAGCTGTGCTGAGCCTTGATTCCCCGGAACTGGAGCAATAGCACTGCAGGTAGGGCGTTTGCCTTGCACGCGGCCGACCCAGGTTCAATTCCCAGCACCCTGTATGGTCCCCCGAGCACCGCCAGGAGTAATTCCTGAGTGCAGAGCCAGGAGTGACCCCTGTGCATTGCCGGATGTGACCCAAAAAGAAAAAAAAAACAACAACAACAACAAAGTCCTACCCCCTTTTGGATGCATTTTTGTTTTTGTTTTGTTTGTTTGGTTGGTTATCGGTGGTGCTCAGGGCTTATTCCCACCTCTTTTCTCAGGAGTTATACCTGGCAGACTCAGAACTATAGGGGGTGCCGGGGATCAAACCCAAGTCAGTCTCATGCAAGGCAAGCACCCTACCTGCTGTACTCTCTGGTCCTAGATACTTTTTTTTTTGCCACACCCAGTTCTGCTCAAGCATGAATCCTGGCTCTGCGCTCAGGAATCACTCCTAATGGGGGTTGGATGACCATATGGGGTGCCGTGAATCGCACCCAGGTCAGCCTCATGCGAGGCAGGCACCCTGCCTGCTGTACTAGTTCTTTGGCCGGGGCCCTGGATACATTTTCTCCTTGCGGCTGTGTCTGAGCTCAGCTCCTGCGGCGTGGCGGTCCCTGAGACTCGAGAGACAGGGTGCGCCCTGGACCATCCGCAGAACCTGAGTGTCATCAGTGTCGTGGTAGATTCTGGGGACAGCACAGTTTGTGCACAGACTCCTGCTGGAAGAGGAGCCGCTCCTTTCCCCCAGCCTCTCCCAGTCTCCCTCCTCTCATCGTCCCCTGCAAGGAGCCCCCCGAGGACAGGGCACCCCAGCTGACCGGTGGCAGGAAGCTCCTGAGCCAGCCAGAGGCGCTTGCTTGCTGCCTCTCACAGTCCCGGGAGCGGAGGGCCCGCCTGAGCCGCAGACAGCTCCCCGCGAGGCAGCTCCTGCCTGGAATAGGCTGGCAGGCCCTGGGCAGCAGCCAGGAGTGTCGTGGGCTCTGGGAGGGACAGGAAGAGGCAGGCGGGAGAGGCAGCATGTGGACATGTAGGTTCCTGCAGGCGGAAATCCCACTCGCTCACAGATGACGCGCCTCTCTTTTCTTTGCCCTCTGACCCTGAGGTTTCCCGGTAATGACCTCCGTTTCCTCTCCTTTAAGCTTGGTTTCCTTGTAGCTGCTGTTCCTATTATTTTTTTGGTGAAGCAGGATGGGTTTTTTTTTGGGGGGGGGGTGTTGGGGGCCATACCTGGCCATGCTCAGAGGTTACTCTTGGCTCTGCACTCAGGAATCACCCCTGGTGGTGCTTGGGAGAGAACCATGTGAGATGCCAGGGATCAAACCCAGATCAGCCATGTGCAAGCCGAGTGCCTACCCACTCTACTGTTGCTCTGGCCCTTGAAGCTGAAGGTAGTTTATTGAAACTTATTTAGAAAGATATGAGGGGAGAGAAAGGGAGAATCATATGTTGAAGAGAGAACTTTCTCTCCAGAGTGGAAATAGGCAAGCAAGCGAGGAGAGCTTGGAGAGTCAGGCCCTTGTAGCTTCTGCTTACGAGGGTTAGTTCTTCCCAAGTCCCTGTTGTCTGGTCCCTCTTCGGTACCAAGCGTGAAATACCTTTAACCTGCCCAGCCCCTGTTATCTAAGCTCTTTCTCCATGGTCTCCACGCTGTCTTGAAACCAGGGTTCAGAGCACCTAGTGGTCTGTAAAGGCAAGCAGGCAAGGGCCGTTTGCGGGATGTGGCTCAGCAATAAAGCATTTGCCTAGCATGTGTGAGGCCCTGGGTTTGATTCCTGACACTGCCCCCTTATTAAAATAGTAATAAAACAAGCAAGGGCTCTGGGACCAGAGAGAGAGTATAGTGGGTAGGGCATTTGCCTTGTATGTGGCCAGCCCAGTTTCAGTCCCCAGCTACCCATATGGTCTCCTAAGCCCTGCCAGGAGTGATACCTGAGCACAGAACCAGGAGTCAGTCTAGAGCACGGCTAACTGCAGGTTCTCCCCCAAATAAAAACTGAAAAACACACAAGCACTTAGAAGGCATAGGGTGAAGTTAAGGGCTTCTTCCCCCCTTTTTCTTCTTTATAGGTAGGTTTTGTGGCCACATCTGGCAGTGTTCAGGGGCTTGAGCTCAGGAGTATCTTCCCAGCAGTGCTCGGATGAGTATGTGCAGTGCTAGGGATCAAACCAGGGTTGGCTGCGTGCAGGGAAACACCTTAACCCCTGTGCTGTCCCCCTGGCCCAGCTTTCCTTTCTGCTGGCTCTGCTCTGCTCTGCTCCATACACTGGTCCTTGCATCCACTTGTGCCTTTCTGAGGCTTATGGCTGGTTCATTTCCGGACTCTTTGTTATCCCTGTGGTCCAGCTCGACCCCTGGCCAGCTGCGTGCCTGCCCAAGGCCCTTTCCATCAGGCAATGGGCCTAACTGACTAGAGGTATCCTGGGCTCTTCATTCCCTAGAGGGGAAAGGTATAGTGGGGGGGGGGGGGCACCTACCCCCCATCCCACACGTGAACCAGGGCCCACAAGCCTGGAGCAGAAAAGCCACTCCCTGCCGCCAGTCTGTTTCTGCCCAGGACACCAGGAAGGAGGGTGTGGTTGAGGGAGGGAAAGAGGCACCAGGGGCACGTCCACCTGCCAAGCAGCAGCCGCAGATGAGGGCCTGACGTGCATCTGTGCGCTTCCCAGATTTGCTGCTCGCTGGCCAGTCTGGGGGCCCTGGCGCCTTGTGGGGGGGTGGGGTGGGCACTCAGGAGGCCGCCTCTCCCCGGGGCATTCACTCAGCTGCCTCCCGAGGCCCCCATGGCTGTTTATGAGACAAGCTGGTCCTCTTCCAGATGCCCTTTCACACCGCCGAGCGATGTTTCACCAGAAATGCCAGGAATGTGTGGGCACAGCTCTTCCCCGGGGCCATGTGCAGAGGGCTGGGGCACCGCGGTGCCCAGGCCCAACCCAGGCCAGGACCTCCAGTGGGGTCTGCAGATGGCTGCTGACCTCCAGCACCCCGTTTCAGTTGGAGGCCTGGGAAGGGGTCCCCGTCCTGAGTGCTTTGGCCAAACTAGCGAGCCCCAGAGGCCAGGCGGCTGCGCGCCAGGTCCGCGCCCCTCGGCGTGCAGCTGTTTCTCCCTGCACGGCAGCACCCTCTGCCGTCGGGAGAGGAAACTGCAGGTGTGGAGCCGGTGCCGCCGCTGTGCGTCGGTCCCAGTCTCTGGTCCCCACCAGAGGTCAGCTTCCACCCAGTCCTGGGCCCCCTGACCCAGAGACTGAGGGGCTTTTCCGATGACCAGGAAAGTGAGGGAGGCCTTTTCCTTTCCTCACAGGCCATGGCCTTGACTCAGTCGCATCAGCTCCGTGCCAGCCTGGGGTGGGCAGAATTGAGGCCCCAAAAGCCCACAAGCAGGTGGTGTTGGTGGGAGGCCCGGCTGGGCGAGGCGAGCAGAGGCTTCCCTGGGGCCTCTCGTGCTGCCTGCACCCCCGAGGGGCTGAGTGAGGGGGTCACTGAGGGAACTCTGGTTCTCTGGCTCCTTCCAAGCAGGAGAGAGTTGACAAAGGCATCGAGACGGACGGCTCCAATCTGAGCGGTGTCAGCGCCAAGTGTGCCTGGGATGACCTGAGCCGGCCGCCTGAAGACGACGAGGACAGCAGGAGTATCTGCATCGGTTCGCAGCCCCGGCGGCTTTCAGGCAAAGGTGGGCGTCACTGCCAAGCCCCCCTCCCCACTTCCTCTTTCAGGCCCTAGAAGATGGGTCTCTCACAGAGTCTGGCCCTTCGGTGTCTGTTTCCGGTCATGCTTCTAGCAGCGAGTTGAAGCCTTCCAGCAGGGCGGGATTGGGGAGCCTTATCAGCCCGTTTCTCTTGGGTTCCTGCGGTGCTTTTCCAGTGTGCCACCAGCAGCACCACCAAACCATTGTGTGTTAGACTCGCCCCTGGTAACCTCAGGTCACGGAGGTGAGTGGAAGCTGTAGAACAGTGACAGGAAAAGACCATAGTCCACCCAAGCACCGGAGAACAAGCATGAACCATCCTAGAGTTGACACAGGGCCCAGTGCTGGCTTCGAAGCCATGTCAGACCCGGGGTGGGGGGGTGGGAGGGCCTTGGGGGAGGGAGGCCTGAGTGTGGAGCCAGCAGGGCCTACAGTGACCCAGACCCGCACCGGGTGCCCCTTCCCTGCTGCATTCCCGGTGGGGCTGGGGCAGGGGCTCTGAGTATCCTGTCCTGCGGTAAAGGACATTCCTTACTAAGACCAACAGGAAAACCGCCCTTCACACATCCATGCACGCTCACGGCCTCTATGTCCACGTCCTTTCTCTATTGCTCTACCTCTTCCTATTTTTTTTTAAGACGAAGATGCCTAAAGGCTGAATATATCTACATATGTGATAGCACAAATAAAAGATTTTCTTCTTTCAGGGAAAAATAAAATAAAACTTAAACCCTGGACACGCCGCTCTAGAATTGCTAGGATCCCAGTTGGGATTTATAATTTCTTTCCTTTGCTTTATTTCTTCTCTCTTGTCTCCTCTAATTCCTGATTTTGAAAAGGTTTTTTGTTTTGTTTTGTTTTGGGGACATATGCAACTGACTCAAGGCTAACGCCTAGCTCTGCTCAGGGATTACTCCTGGGGTGCTTGGAGCACTATGTGGGATCCTGGGGGTTGAACTAGGGTGGTTTGCATGCAAGGCAAGCCCCCCGTACCTGCTGTACAGTCTTTCCAGCTCCTTAAATAAATCTTATTTACCTTAAAACAAGCTTAGGCCCCCTAGTGAAAATACTGGACACTCTTTTTTTCCCCTCCCTGCTTGTTCTAATGGTGTGTTAAGCCCAGAGGAGAGTCAAAGTGGAAAAAATGGTTTTATTAGAACCATTTCCTTGTGTTTGACAAATGGGTAATTTCAGAGAGGCAATCCTCTTCAAACATTATTATTTTTTTTAATTATAAAAGTAATCCATGCCACTGTAACAAAGCAGTTAGAAATGAATCGTCATAGGACTGGAGAGACAGTACAGCAGGTAGGATGCTTGCCTTGCATGTGGTTGACCTGGATTTGATCTCTGGCATCTCATATGGTCCTCTGAGCCCTACCAGGAGTGATCCCTGAATGGAGAGCCAGGAGTAAATCCTGACCATCATTGAGTGTGGCCCGAACACCCACCCCCAAAAACTGATCATCTTGTTATCTGCCCTAAGTCCATCCTTTGAGCAGTTAATATTAATCTGCTTTGTTTCCCTTTGTGTTTGCAGAGATAAATCTTAGATCAAAATCTCAGTATAGGGGCTCAAACTAGTGAGTTTTGTGGGGGCTGGAGAAATAGTACAGCGGATAAGATACTTGTCTTGCACACACCCAGCCCCGGTTGGTATCCTGAGCACACCAGGAATAATTCCTGAATACAGAGCCAGGAGTAACTCCTGAGCATCGCCAAGTGTGGCCCAAAAGCTTAAAAAAAGAAAAACTAGTAAACGTCATATTGAGGATGAGCAAAGCCCCTTGCAAACAAATCATGCCACTGAGGGCTTCCTCTCACTCCTAGGCCCTTGCCTGGCCCTCAGGGCAACAGGGTGTTCTGGGCCCAGGTGGATAGTGACCTCTGCATCCCCTCTGACCCGACCTAACAGGAAGGACTGGCCAGGCCCGATGCCAGTTGACTGCTTAGAACCTCAAAACGTGAGGAGGAGACGCCTGCCTCTTCGTGCCAGTGCCCTCGGAACCCTGACTGACTTCAGTGTCAGTGAGCGAGCAGAGCCCGAGTGGTCTTAAGGAGTGCCAAAGGCCTTGTGGTCACTCCAGAACACTTTCGGGGTAGGCCTGGGGAGTGGGCAAGCGCTGGTTCTTGGAGGGGCCTCTGATGTCCAGCCCTGCTGGGCTCTGTTTGGACCAGAGGTTTCCTGAGCGCACAGAGCCGCCTCGCCATGCTGATGCATGACACAGGCTCAGCACCAACCTTGAGGGTGTTGAAGGAAGTTGGAATGGGGGTCGTGCCGGGAGACCAGAGGGGAGGGACCTCAAGCAACTTGGTGGTGTCATTGCAGACACAGAGCAGATCCGCGAGACCCTGAGGAGAGGACTCGAGATCAACAGCAAACCCGTCCTTCCGCCAATCAACACTCAGCGGCAGAATGGCTTCTCCCTCGACCGGGCCCCGTGAGTCCCCCCGCCCCCCCCCCGCCCCCACCTCCTGGTCACCAGGTCTTCCCAACAGCCAGGAGTCGGGGACTTTCGGTACTGTGGTGCCTGTCCCCCAGCTCCTACGAGGGAGAGCAGAGCCCGTGACCCGTGCGGGCCGGGGTCTCTGTGACCGTCGGGAAGGGCTGCTTGGAGGCCCAGCAGATCTGGAATGTAAACGCCGGTAAATATTTACCCGGATTGGGAGAGCAGGTGGGAGGCCGAGTTGGGGCAAAATCTGACTCGGGGCCTTTCAGCCTTGTGGGAGTCCATTGTGCTGAGCACGGAGCCCCCCTTATCTCGGCCTCAGCCAGAGTTGCCCTTCCTTCCTTCCTGGAGCCTGGTCTCCGGCCGATAGCCGCAACCCCAGGGGCCTCCCTGTCTGGCCAGCCCTGTGCTGCTGAGGCCTTCTTCCTGCCTCCCCGCCACGGGGCCCACGAGGGGACGGGAAGTCCTGTGCAAGCCCCCCCCCCACCTGGTCTGGGGCCCCGGAGCCCTGGGGAGAGGCTGGCCACCCCAGAGGGCAGATCCGCTTCCCACTGACTTCTCGGCCTCTGACGGCTGGGCAGAGCCAGAGCTGGGCACCCTCTCCTCAGCCCCACAGCCGTTGTTGGGCACGGTTGCTGCCACGGCAGCCTGGGGCCGGCACGGTGACTGCCCGGGAGAAAGTCACTGTGCTCTGGGGTGTCCCTCTTGCCAGTGGGGGGGAGCGGGGCAGGCTCTGGGCCCAGGGGTCCATCTGGAGTGCTGGGGGGGTAGGGTGCAGAGGCTGAAACAATGAATGGCCTGAGCACCCCGGATGCAGTGTGTAGGGTGCAGTGTGTGGGAAGGGGCTCCCAGAAGCACCGCAGCGGCAGGGTCTAGGCTCGGCGAGGGAGGCCTTCTTGGACCCGGAACCTGAGATGAACCTCGGAGGGGTTCTCAGGAAGGGGTTTTACCCCGGGAGCAAAGAAAAGAGCTGACGGGAAGAGAGCCGGCGCGTCCGGTTCCAGCGGAGGCCCCCTCGGGGGAGCGGAGCAGAGAAAGTTATTCTGGGAACTGGGCTGCCCACGGCGGCTCCTCTGGTGCATCTGTCGTCCCAAAACCATGAGAGTGGAGCTTTTGGGCAAGTGCCCGGAGAAGCCTCCTTGGCCGCACAGAGCGTGCAGAGTGAGTGGCCCAAGGCACTGTGTCTTTCCCAGTGGCAGCCGCGGGCCAGGCCAGGGCTCAGGGCATGTGGGAACGCCACCTGTGGGCCTGGACCCTGGCCCGGCCGCCCTTCCCGCGCCCTTGGCTTGGCGTCTTCCTCAGGACTCCGTTGGCACTGGTAGGGGCGCTTGGAGTGATGCGAAAGGTTTAAGACTCGATCATTGTCTGGAACTTGCAGGCAGGCTCTTCCCGGCTGTCCCTCCCACCTCTGGAAGGTCCAGGTTTCTGGGCAGGAGGGCAGGGCTTGCCGCTGAGACGGGTCCCACATGCCTCTCTCATGTGCCCAGCACAGGCCCGAGATCTCACTGTGGCTGCTGCAGCCTGCCCTGCTCACGGCTTGGCTCCGGGTTCCTGAATGCTACGCACCCCTCCCCCTGACCGGTCCTTGGGGACCTGGATCGGGGTCACAGGCTCTCTGTGGACACGGGTAGAGGCCACCCCGCCTCACCTGGCCCTGTGTTGACTCCACCCCAGATGGGTAGAAGATTGGAGGTGTCCGCCCTTTGGGGTCCTGCTTCCCCCCAGAGCCCAGGGCCCGGGTCAGCCCCACGAGGACTGGAACCTGCAGTCTGGCAGGCACCCAGGTCTCCGCTGAGGTTCCCGGTGCAGTCTGCCTCCAGGAGGCCGAGAAGTGGTTCCTTTCCCGCCCGCGCAACGTCCTCGGCAGCCCCTCCGTCTCTCTCCCCGCAGCCCTCTCTTCCCCGGAATTGATGGTGATGGGCTCCGCTCAGATCAGCAAGCACAGCCGTAATATCTGTGCTGCCCTCTCTGGGACCTGACCCCGTTTCGGAGAAATTACGGCCGAGAGAGTGGCCCCCAAATGTGCTGGCTCCAGTGTTTGTTCCTGTCCCGGGGGGCGGCGGCGGCAGCGCCGGCCTTGCTGGGTCTGCCTGGCCGCTTTTCCCTGCGTCAGGCTTCCTGGCCTGCCACGAGCGGACGCATTGCTGCTCCGTGTCCAGTATGGCCCGGAGGTGGCTCCACTTCAGGAGAAGAGGCAGAAGCTGGGCCGCAGCAGCCGGGGCGAGTCACACAACTCGCTCTTCCCACAGCTGTGTGGCAGAGCACCTAGACCGAGCTCGCCGCGCGCCCTGCACCCTGCCAGGGCTTTCTGCGACCTTCATTCCTCCCATCCCTAGTCGCTCTGGAAAGGGGTTAATCCTTGTTTTGTTTAGTTTTGGGGTCACACCCAGCGATACTCGGGGGTTCTCCTGGCTCTGCACTCAGGAATTACTCCTGGAGGCTCAGGGGACCATAGGAGATGGCAGGGGAAGAGCCCGGGTCAGCCACAGCTGGACTGTTTCTCCGGTGCCTGAAAGGGGATAATCAGAAAAGGAAACTGAGGAATGGAGATGCTGACATGGCCTTTGACTCTGGCAGTTGCACGGTCTGACCTTACCAGCTCTGTTCTCAGGGTCCTGCGAGGGACACAGACTGCCGCTGAGGTGCTGGTGACCTTCACGTGTCAGCCTCACCCAGCCAGTAGACCAGAGCCCTCCTTGGAGCACTGGCGAACGGGTGGAAACTGCCCTGCAGAGAGAGGCCCATGGTGTGGACTCACCCTGAGGAGGGTGCGCCATTTGGCCCAGTGGCCTTGAGCTGTGTCCCGTTGGCCCCTTCGTACCGGCTGCCTTGGGACCCTTTTTTCTCCTGTTCAGAAGCTACCCTCTGGGCTGGAGCAGTAGCATAGTGGGGGAGGGCCTCGGCACCCCATATGGTCCCCACCAGGAGTTACCCCAAGCATAGAGCCAGGAATAGTCCCTGAGCACCACTGGGTGAGAATAAAGAGACCATCAGAGGTTTGTTTTTAAGTCCTTAGCAACAGGGGCTGGATAGATACTGCAGTGGGTAGGGCATTTGCCTTGCACGTGGCCGACCCAGGTTCAATTCCCAGCATCCCATATTCCATACAGTCTTCTGAGCACCGCCAGGAGTAATTCCTGAGTGCAAAGCCAGGAGTAACCCCTATGCATTGCCGGGTGTGACCCCCCCCAAAAAAAAAACCAACAACAACACCTGCCTTCCTTCCCTCTCCCTGCCATCCACCATGCCACTGACAGGCCCCTGGTCCCTGCTCCTCTCATGTCCCCCCAGCCAGCCGCCTCCCTCCGCCTTCCGGGAATGCTGGGCTTGGCCCTCTTGAGCTTCTCCCGGAGTTTCACAACCTGCACATTCCAGCTGTGAAATGCGGATCCGGCCTTTCCAAGACTGGCCGTGGGGAAAAGGCCTCTTGGCTTGGCTAGTGCCAGTCAGGCCAGGTTAGCCGAGGGATCCAGTCCTGGGCATCCCGATATGGACCTGCCATGAAGACCACATCCCGATATTCATGAGGATCTGCAGGGTGGTGACCAGGCGCCCCGTCTCCGAGGTCTCCTGTCCCGGAGCGCCAGCCTCTCCGCGTGCTCATCAGCGCCGACTTCCAGACACGAGTGCACTGATGCTGACACCTCCAGTGCTCAGGCGCCGCCTGGCCCCAGTGACAAGCTGACTGAGGCTGTGGGGCTCAGGGGAGTCCTGTGGGTTGCACCCACCCTCCCAGTGCCCTCCCTGCCTGTCCTGGGAGGGGTGTTTCTCACCGAGAGGGGTGCACTTCTGTGATGCACTACTTAAAATGCTCACTGTGCGGGCCGGAGCGAATGTACAGTGAGTAGGGTGTTGGCCTTGCACACAACCGACTGGGTTCGATCCCCAGCATCCCATACGGTCCCCCAAGCACTGCCAAAGTAATTCCTGAGTGCAGAGCCAGGAGTGGCCCGACCCCCACCCCACAAAAAAAAAAAAAAGGCACCTTTGAAGGGACAGAGCAAGGGCTGCAAACACAACGAGGCTGCTGTGCTCCCCATGAACCCCACCCTTGCCCTATTTCCCAGACAGATGGGTTAGCCGGAAGCTCACGGCCTCACCTTGAATTCTCAGTCCACACTGCAGCCCTTCTGGCTTTGCACACCTAGAAGTATCTGTGTCACCCATCCTCGAGCCCCCGTGTCACCCAGCCTTTCTGTAGAGGGCACTTTCTGAGTGGCGCAGGGCGTCCAGAAGCAGAGAGCTGCGGGGTCCTCGTCACCGGCCACGCCTGACAGACGATCCCCAGAGCCCAGGGCAGCTCATGTCTGATGAAGGAACGCCGCCCCCCCCCCCCCCGCCCCTTATGTGAGTTTCACCTGCTCCAGTTCCTTCAGCCAGACCCTGCCCACTGTTCACTGTCCCACCCTGATCTTGGGAAATGAACTGGGACTGGGAGCCTTTACCTGGAGGTCACTGGTGATCACCTTCTACTCCACACCCCCTGACCCTCCCTCCAGGACCAGCCCTGTCAGGGAATTGGTCGCACTGAGTTGGTGATAGGGCTCTGTCCTCCACACTGACCAGGAGGGCAGCTGGCTCCTGCCCGAGGGAGACAGCCCTCAGCACCATCAGAAACTACAGCAAGGCAGGGCACCGGAGCCATAGGACAGTGGGGAAGGCTGTCTACCTGGGCACCTTGCAGGCGGCCTACCTGGGGTTCCATCCCCAGCATCCCATATGGTCCCCCGAGCATCTCCAGGAGTCATTCTGAGTGCAGAGCCTGGCATAGTAAGCCTTGAGCATCACCAGGTATGGCCAAGGAAGGAAGGGTGGAAAACTAAAGACAGGACGCGGCAATCGGAGGCCGGGCGGGGCTCAGGAGACTCAGCTTCTCAGGAGGCCCCCACCCCAGGGTCTCCCCTCCCCCCTCTCCTGGCCCGCTGCTGCACACGGCCCGGATCTCAGGCTTATGTGGAAACAGGAGAAAGAGGCCAAGGCAGAGGAAAAAA